GATTGTAGAGAAATTCACATATTCTAGGGTGAATTCCCTCTAAAAAGTTGATCATTCGCACCTTCCATTGCGGATACTCCTCACGGATAAGCCAAGTTCGCCAAGTTTGCCATTAAAATTAAAAGAAGAAAGATAAGAACAAGATGAAACTGATTTAATATAATGAAACAGGGTAATTTGAAGAGAACTGGTGTTCTAGAAAAATGCAGATTAATACCAAAAACAGAATTAATCGAATAAGAATTCAATTCCTGCTCTGATACCAATTGTTGGACCTGTAAATTCAGCTTTGATATTGATCTGTTACTCTGAATGAACTCTAAGACGATTAAAGTGCAGCGGAAACAATTATAAGAACAGAACAGAGTAATTAAACCAAGAACACGCAGTTAAGATGATAAAGAAGATGAACACAAGAGAATAGCTTGAAAGGTTTTTCAATTCATTCAATTGAAAATAAGACGATTACAATTCGGAAGCACACCGATTACAAAGGCCTTAGCCGCTATATATACTAGTTCCTAACGACCTTACTGACAAGATCTTGATGCGTGAAATCATCTAAGCCATCCAAATAAAGTTGATTAAGTCCTAGTCACGTGAGAAGCACATGCAACTAACAACCTTTGAAAAACAGTTGGAAGAGGATCTTCATAGAAGACGAAATCCGCATACCCTCTGTGAGCCATCTCAGAGGCTCTGTCACACTTTACTTGCTCGAATATCAGGCTTCTGTCGTTAGTCTTCTGTTGTCTTCTGTGGAAGATATGCTTCTGTCAAGACTTGTAGAATACTTTTTCTATACTTTTACAAGAGATGAATAATAAAGCTAACAATAGATTCAAAATTACACTGGCCAAATGTAATCCGAAAATACCTTACACACTGATCTCTTAACTTATTATATTTATTCCAAAGGTGCTAACTATGTCTGTGACCCTAATATGCAATGAAATAGTTTAAGTCTAGGTATCATGCATGTAAATRCCTAAATCCCTTAAACTCAGGCTCTGATACCAACTTTGAAACACCCCCAAATCCATACGTTGCATGTTTTCCCCCACACAGGTCCTTGATACAAGAGTCTATAATGTAAAATACGCAACCCAAAATTTCAAAAGTACATGTTCTTGCATCCGAGCATCTATGCTTCCAAAACGGCTAAGCACATAGGGAAGTAATTCACATAATGGTTTTTCCTTTATTATCATTACCTGCACACATATTTCGAAAACACGAAATGAGGGTTAGACATGAATGTCTAGTGAGGTTACCTTTTATGTAATGCAGGGTGAAGATCACCAAAACATTTATCAAATAATCATTTGACAACATGCGGAATAAAAATCAGATTCTGTTTTGTTCCATCGAGCCTCTGGTTCCAAACCACACTTAGTACATTTAATAAAAACTTGCTCATTCTCCAAATTAATAACCAGAATCCTCTGGTCCAATAATGAGGACCAACCAGAGCTCCTCTGGTTCCTTACAAGGAACAACCAGAGCCCTTCTGATTCCTCATAAAAATAACCATTCTGTTCCAAAACACTTTTAACTAATATCAATGGCCATAGGCAAAATTTTCCTCTTCTCAATAACATCAATACTATTATTTCTAATTAGAACAATATATTTGAGTTCTCAAATCACAAAGAAGTAAGGACTCAAATATATTGTAGTCTTAAAAGACATAATAGTAAGAGCTATWATATTCACACACARTTGCCRCCCTTATATCCAAAAGACACATCTCCTTAATATGCCACCCTTATTCCAAAAGACACCTCTCCTTGAAATGTCACCCTTATTCCAAAAGACACCTCTCCTTGATATGCCACCCTTATTTTTTCTTCAAAATCTATGAACTAGTTCGGATGAAGGACCACAGTCAAAACCATCTTATCGAATCCTCATTCATAGTTTTATCCATAAAATCTATAGATTAATTTCAAATGAAGACATATCAAAATCACAATCGTCTCAAAAGAATATTCTCAATAGTTTTCAACCAACAGTTTTATCATCAAAACCTTTCAAACTCAAGAACAATCTATTCCTTTCAATGATTTCCAAAACATCATATCCCTTTTTAAATCCTCAAAATAGGATATCATTTTCAAAACTGTTCTAAAGAAGCAATCCCTTCTTTATCCTTCCCAACACAGTTTTTAATACTCAAATATATAACAATAACACCTTTAAACTATCAAAATAGTTTTACCATCTTTTCTTCAAAACCAATATCAAAACCCAGCAGTTTATATAACAAAATATAAAGATTTTAGTCATAAAAAACTCACAGTGTATAATCAACAATATTTATAAAACTCACAGTTTATAATCAACGGTAGTTTAAAAACTCACATTGTATAATCAACAGTATTTTTAAAACTCACAGTTTATAATCAACGGTAGTTTAAAAACTCACCTTAACAATCACAGATTTTGCAGTTTTAAAACACACAGCAAATCACAAGCTCTTCAAACAGCTTTGAACAAAAGATTCATTCAAGAACACTTCTCACCGCCACAACACTCTTTTTCTCTTTCAACAAATTTTTCTTCAAAATGAAATGATAAGATAGAATCTTATCTTTTTATTTCTTTAAATACTCCCATTTTCGCGGTGAAGATTATTAAAAACTCATAGGCGGTAAAAGCTTTAACCAATAGAAATAATCTTGGGTGGTGGGTTTTTTATTATAAAATTCATGGTTTCTTAACCATGAAGGTATAAGTTTTTTTAATATAATAATGTTTCCACTAGGATAGCTTATCACAAATATGCACCACCTTATATATGCTTCACACCACATGCATACATGTATAAATCATATATGTCATGCCATCTTTTCACATATATGCATGCACAATATCATGTTCACATATATAGTTCATGCATTTCTACTTAGATATGCATATTTCATGTAATCCACATAATAAACATGTATAAATTACCTCAACCCAGGTTGTCTCAAACCTGGTTATAACAATGGAGGTCACTTCTAGTTGGACCGATGAACTCAAGAAAATTCAAGAAGAAGCTTTAGTAGAGGGAAACTGGAAGGGAGAGAGAATGGTAGGGGTTGGTCTGTTGCTTGAAGATAATAATCAAGGGTTAAAGTACTATAAAGGCAGAATTTGGATTTCTCGCTTAGGCAACTTTCGTAACCATGTGTTAGACGAAGTCCATAAATCTCGATATTCTATCCATTCGGGTAACAATAAATGTATCGAGATCTTCGTCAATCTTACTGGTGGCCAGGGATGAAGAAAGACATAGCCCATTATGTCGAAAGGTGTTTGACATGTCTACAAGTCAAAGTTGAACATCAACGACCATATGGTAAGCTACAACCCCTTGAAATACCGATATGGAAGTGGGACCACATCACAATGGACTTTGTGACGAAATTACCAAGAACACCAAAGGGTTATGATGCTATCTCGGTAATCGTTGATAGGCTTACGAAGTCTGCACATTTTCTACCAATTAAAGAAACGTACTCGATGGAAAGACTAACAAAGTTGTATATAAACGAGATTGTGACTCGTCATGGTGTTCCATTATTAATAGTCTCTGATAGGGACAGTCGGTTCACCTCTACATTTTGGCAAAGCTTTCAAAGAGAGTTGGGATCACGAGTAAAGCTAAGTACAGCCTATCACCCGCAAACAAATGGTCAAAGCGAGACGACCATTCAAACTCTAGAAGATATGTTGCGGGCATGTGCTATCGATTTTGCAGGGTCATGAGAAAGCCATATTCCATTGATAGAATTTTCCTATAACAATAGCTATCATGCTAGCATTCAAGTCGCACCATATGAAGCTTTGTATGGGAGAAGTTGTCGAACGCAATTATGTTGGAATGAGGTAGGTGAATGACAATTGGCTGGCCCTGAAATAGTTCAGCAGACTACGGACAAAATAAAATAGATAAGGGAAAGGTTAAAGGTGGCACAAGATAGACATAAAAGCTACACCGATAAAAGACGAAAGCCGATAGAATTTCAAGTTCGGGACAAAGTTATGCTTAAGATTTCACCGTGGAAATGCGTAGTTCGTTTTGGAAAGCGAGGGAAGCTAAGTCCTCGTTATATTGGTCCGTACATGATAACTAAAAGTGTAGGTGAGGTTGCCTATAAGTTGGAACTACCTGAAGAACTTCAAGGCATCCATAACACGTTTCACGTATCTAATTTAAGAAAGTGTTTGGCGGATGAGAGCACCGAGGTAACTCTTAAGGATATAAAGGTGGACAAAATACTAAGTTATATTGAACAACCAGAGGCAATTACCGATAGAAAAGTGAGGAAGCTAAGAAACAAAGAAATTTCTCTCGTGAAAGTCCAACGGAAACATCATACGGGGCCAGAAGCAACTTTGGAACCCGAGAAAAATATGAGGTTGAAATACCCTCATTTATATGCATGAGGCAAATTTCGAGGACGAAATTTTGTTAAGGAGGAGAGTTTGTAATAAAAAAACAAAGAGGTGCATCCTTAATTTCCCTTCACATCAAAAGTCATAACTTCCCCCTTCAATTAATAAATATGGCCTCCTCATATGATTTTAACCGACGTTGGCCTAGTATAAAACCCATAGGAGTTGTGGTAAGGTAATGGGATAGGGATCTATTGTGTGAGCAAAGGCAACAGTGAACATCGAAAGAAAAGTTGATAGTGCTTTACATTGCAACTAGTTTGACATAAAAAAAATGGTTGCACATTTTATTTACAATTTTATGCAAGCTCGCTTGGAATTTTCTTGATATATTTGAGTATCATGTATGCGTAAAACGTGCCTTATTTAATAAATATGTTGTGTGGCAATGGGGGTGTACTATGTTATGATTCCATAAAGACGAGCATGCTTTGTGAGCTTGTCTAAGCCGTAAGTCCGGATACGCTGTGTGAGTTCGCCAGGTATTACTGTGTGGGGTAGTCATCCCCCATAATGCCACTAGTTTTGTGACGTATGTTGTTTAAACCGTATGCATGATAAATTATGACGTTTGTGAAATCTATTTTTTTATGTTGTGTATGCATTAAAACAGTTAATTCACTGGGCCCTTGGCTCACGCAACTCCTTTCAAAAACAATTATGCAACCAGGTCCTCTCACACACGGGAATAGTAGCAAAGGAAAGAAGAAAGAAAGTTTAAAACCGGCTATCGCGGAATAAAAGCTTGGCGTGGAGACTATCCGGGACTTGATATGAATATACAAATGTTCCTTAAGTTTTATTAGTTAAAAAAATACTTCCGTTGCATTGAACTATTTAGATTTTATGACTTATTTATACATGGACGTTTATTATATTAAGGGAAAAAATTAAGTCTTTGCAGGCATATTTACTTAACAAAATATATGTATAAAAAACTTATATAATAAAAAATTGTACTTTTAAAAGAGGATACAATTCATAATGAAGTAGATACAAAATTATCAACGATGATATCATGGATAACAAACATATATCAGGTATGGTTATCAGCAACTCATATATAAAAAAATGTACATTCATGTAAAGATGCTTACTTGGATTGCAATAACAATTGATGAAAACAAACATTACAATCGTTTAGCAATGCTTAATAGCGGCAATGACGTTTTTAATTTATAAACATTCGTGTTGATAACGTGTTATAAAAAAAACAAAATAAAACAACAGTAAATAAAAAGAATGGATTTTTAATTATCATTAATTATAATCTTTTTAAATAAAGATGAGTTTACAATACAAAAAAACATTCATTATAATATTTAAAAAACATTCTTTTAGTCACTTAATTTTATTGTAACACAAACTTTTTTCAAAAATAATCCATAATAACTTTGCATAAAATAGTTTTATTATGGAAAAATTATATTTCCGATATTGATACAAAAATGGTAATTAACTCCTTGATCAATTTATGGACATAGAAAAGATCAATGGATTTCATCCACACATTTGAATAGATATTATCCAGATTAATCAATCATACTACGTCCACAAATTTACGGTATATTTATGTGGGAAGAATAAACAATGCAATTTTTTTTGAAAAATAATATTTTCTCTTTCACTAGTTAGATGCATAGAGATAGGAGTTTTTGTAACACTCCTTTTTTTATATTGTATATAAACATGTATTTCATAAATTAAGAAATATAACAATACATTTTTGGTCCAAACAGTCAATAAATTATAATAGAGAATTTACTATCCAAAAATTCCAAAATGATATTCTTGTACATCACATGTATACACAACATATATTTCCAAAATCCATCAGATAACAAGCTGATTTTCATACACCAGTTATGCACATTAGAAAAATGATCACATTTTCCCCTTCCTCTTTTTCGTAGACACAGCTGGACCTGCAATGCATATTTTTAAAACACTAAATGAGGGTTAGATCATGAGGTCTAATGAGAGAACCTCTTATTTGCAATTAGAAGGTGAACATCAACAAAACCTATCATGAAAATATCATTTAAACATCCAACAACTTTATAAATTATAACTGCAGTAATACCACAAACTGCAAGTTATAAAAGCGTTCTTACTACATAAGAAACATAGCCACTCAGGTTCTCTTGGACATTCGGAACACAACTCTTAAAGCTCTTAAATCTCATCAGACTAAAGCTTACAATTCAACCTCCAAATCATTCAAAGAAATACCAATCACTAGAGTTCTTGGTTATTAATAAAAGCTTTTAAGATAAGAACAGTTTTAAACTCAAATGAAAACTAAATTGAATAATAACCAAAGACCCTCTGGGTTTTATTTCAAATCTATACTCTTTTGAACAACCAAAACATGATATCTGATATCTCAAAATCATTGGAAACACGAGCAATTAATGTCTCCGGCTATAAGCCACTTTCCCCTTCTCAATAACATCATTGTTAACATTTCAATAAGAGCAATATTTCCAAGTCTTTATATCACAAAGAAATGTTGACTCAAAATTATCATATCTTATGGATGTGACAACAAGAGCTATAAGATAACCAGATCTCACAAATGTCAGCCTTATCCAAGGTACACTTCTCCTTGATATGCCACCCTTATCCCATAATACTCCTCTAATTGATATGTCACCCGTATCCCATTGTACACCCCATCTTGATATGCCACCCTTATATCCTCATTAAATCTGCAGTTTCAGCCAATAATGGCCTAAAAACAGTTTCATATAAGAAAATATATCTCAAGAACTTTCTCAGTTCTTAAACCCACTTTCAATATTATTTCAATCTATTTTAAAAACATTTATCCATCTCAACATTTTTGAAAAAAACAACACCTCCTTTCTCAATTTATAAACAACATCTTAAAGATATATAAAAACAACATTTGTCCTCATCGGACACCACTTGGCCGGATACCCTTCATCGGACAACACTCACCTGATGACTGCCCTTCATCGGATAGGACTTGGGCGATAAACTACCCTTGATGGGCCAACACTCTAACCAGATAACACTTTGAATAATAAAACATCATCACTGGTCAATACTCTGACCGGTAACTACCTTCACCGATCAACAATATGTCCGATAACAACCTTACCGGTCAACACTTGAATATAAATAAACAAATAGGACAATGCTTTGTCTGATGAGCATCCTCACCAGACAAGGCGTTGGGTGATGAACACCCAATTCGGTCAACCCTTGAAACCCCAAACACTTAATCCGTTCAACATTTGGCGATAAGGTGCCGAATCCGGACAACCCTTGCCCGATAAAGGTCTTCACCGGAAAACACTTCGTCCAGTAAAAATCCTCACCGGACTATACATAAGAACATAAACTTTCTCACCGGTCAGGGCATGACTGATAAGGGTTTCTCATCGGACAACACAGTGTCCGATAAAAACCCTTCATCGGACTATGCATTTGAACTTAAGAAATATACAACATACGTTCAACAGTTCATAATCCTAAAACCCATTATTATTTAACAGCAGTTATAAATTCAGTATCAAAACTGCTGTAAAAATCACCTTATGAAAATTGAAGATGAATTCAACAAAGAAACTTGAAGATGAAATCACACAAAAACTAGCTTCAATCTTTGATCACAACTTCAACTTTTGCAAAACACCCAGAGACTCGTTTTTTTTTCCAAGCTTTCGAAAAATGGCAACTAAAGTTGCTTTCCAAAATTTCCTACTTTAAATACTCTTTCTAAACAAGCGATGGAAGATAACTATTAAAAATCCTCCCCCTTCACACACCACATGCACATACATGCATATCTCCACACACACACACACACACACATATATATATATATATATCACTCACATATTCATGCATATATGTACCTACACACATATATACAAACCCATGCATGGTTATGCAAATGCACATATACACAAATACAATCATTATGGATTAATATAAACCATTAATCACAAAATCAAATAATTACCTCAGATGTATAACCAGAACTCGTTTATCAAACTATTCACCCCTCAAAAGAAATTCGTCATGTAATTCAATTAATTGAACAACCACGGATACTCGGCTTTCATCTTTGATTCCAATTCCCAGGTTGCCTCTAAACCCTTATGGAAATGTCACCGAACTTTCACAAGATTGATCTCTTTGTTTCATAACACTTTGTTTTTCGATCAGTGACAATTGTAGGTGTTTTCGCAAAGTTCAGTTTGCTATCCAGATTTACCTCCGGTAACAGTATTGTCAGACTCGGATTTGCCAAACACTTTTGCAAATTAGAAACATGGAAAGTGTTATGAAGCTGAGTTCCTCTGGTAGCTCTAACTGATGAACAACCAATCTGACCCATTTGCAAATCCTGAATGGCCCAATATACCTCAGACTGAGCTTACCTCTCTTTCCAAATTTGAAAGCACCCTTCCACGGAGAGACTTTCAATATCACGAAATCTCCTGTTAGAAATTCGATCGATTTACGATGTTTATTGACAAAACTCTTATGTCGGTCCTGAGCTATTTAAATTCGTTCACGAATTAGTTCAATCTTTTCAGAAGTTACCTGAACAATCTCTGGACCTATTAACTCTCTCTGATCCACTTCATTCGAACACAACAACGTTCTACACTTTCGGCTATACAAAACTTCATAAAGTGCCACCTGGATGCTAGAATGATGACTGTTGTTACACGCAAAATCAATCAAAGGTAGATAACCTTCCCATGATCCCTTGAATTCAATAATAGAGGTTCTTAACATATCTTTGAGACTCTGGATTGTTCTTTCAATATGCACATCCATCTTAGGATGATATGTCGTACTCAATCTGATTTGGGATCCCATAGCTCTTTGAACTCTCTTGCAGAATTTAGAGGTAAACCGACTACCTCGATCTGAGATGGTGGATAATGGATCACCGTGTCGAGTTACAATCTTTTCAATGTAAATATTTGCCAACTTTTCTAAGGAAT